GCTCGTCTGAATATCAACAACCTTGCATTCAAACACTAAAATGTGCATTCCACCCTTGCCTTGAGCAACAACTAAACTGAACACACACCTTGACGCTCGTATAACTCCACTGTAACAAAACAAAAAAATAAACCATAAATGGTCATGTTCCAGTGTTTCCATTGTATGCATTTTGATGTGGTGGAATTGCTACAGACACTTTGTTTTTTTTAAGAGGTTCATATGGAGAACTGATGGTGGGAGTTGCAGCATAATTTCAAAAACTGACAAATAAGGGAGGTCGGAAAACAGAAGGGCTTCCCTCTAAAACAGTGGTTACCGACCTGGGGGTTGCAACCCGGATGATGATTAACAGGACAGGAACCAGAAAAGATGTTTATTTTTTCAGACCTTTCCACAATCTTTGCAACCTTTCTAGTGAATGGCTAGGTTTTTAAACCACTCCAGGCCTCTAACAATGAGCATATTTGACTTATGCAGCCACTGACGAGGGTCAGCCATTGCTTTTGCTTTAAGGGTTCACAAGATGTTGGGAAACGCCCAGTGATTCAGAAGATTATGAGACTGCACAGGAACTGAGATTATTACACCAAACTTTCAACTAAAAGAAACATTTTTACTCATCTTTAACGCTTGTTTGATTTCTCCAGCCGAATGACTTATCTCCAAGAAACTTATGAGCACGTCTCCAGTAAACACAAGATTTAAAGTGGTGCTTTTGCATGATTCCTTGTGGAGAAACTCAGTTTTACAGATTGTGGATTTAATCGATTAGTTGACGACAACATATGGGAGTTAGTCTACTAAGAATAGGGACAGCCCTACGAAGCACACATCTTAAGTTCACATCTCATCTGAAGCTGAAACTATAGGGTGGTGCCGTTGTTGGCTCGGTACTGACACTGCTGTCGATTAAATAAAATGCCAGTCAGCGGCTCTTTCTTTATAATGCCAGGCTTAACGTCAAAGGGAACAGGTCCATTGTCTCCCATTGCAAACAGCTAAAAAGGCTGTTATTTTCTGTAGTGTCTGGTGTCTGTACTCGCACCGGCCTAATCTCATGAACATCACGGATGAAGGCTAAAATGTCTGCATCGTGTAGCTATCGAAGCTTTGCTTCGAGACACTAAATGCTTGAGTTCAGAACGTGGTCATTACTCGTCTTAAATGCTCTGAGATTCAGTAAATATTAAGCTCTGGCCAAAGGAATGTCCTCAGTGACCCTGTCCTCACAAAGACATGCAGCACAAACAAGCTCAGACTGAAGTGAGGGCTTTATCTCTCCAGATATCCAAAATACTCCCTGCAGCTGACTGTTTTCTGTCCTTTTGTTCAAGGAACCATTATAAACCAGACATTCAGATTGGACCCAAAAATGTTCACCTTATGAACATTAATTTTAGAAGACTGTGTTGACAAAAAGAAGAGCAGATTCTGGAATTTATGTTACCATCTTTATCCCATTTTTCCTCGTACATGTTTCCCCTCAAGCCAGGTCAAAGGAGAGTGTCTCAGTCGCTGGTGACCTAACCATCTTTGTTAGGCTTGGAGCTGAGCCAATGTGCTGCAATCATATTGTGTCACCAGAGCCGACTGGTTTAGTTCTGTATCAACAGACGCATCAGAAATCTGTCCTGCAAAGTTTCCATATGACTAGTGTATCCATGTTTACATGAAACTGTTAAGTGGTAAGCATCAAAAAAGTGGATCCCAGATTGAAAAATGACACATCTAACCAGAGTTAGATGGGAAAGGTTATACCACAATTAACATGTTATATCTTGTTTGTTCGATTGGACAAAATTGGAAGTGTAAAAACTCAGAATTGCAATAATGTGTCAGACTATTTTCTTAGTCGGGACCAGTTGCCCGGAAACGGCGAAGACCCCAAACAGTCGGCTCACAAGTCAGCCTCTAACTGCTTCGCTCAGCAAGAGACTGAAGACAATCTCTCTGTTTTCGTTGTTGAAACTGGTAGGAATCAATTGGAGTGTAAAAAACACCTGCATAGCCGAACCAATCTAAAGTCATAGACGACGTTGACCAATAACAAGTGTTATCCCCTCGTGTTACCCCCGTACGTCCCCACGCAGAAAAAAACTTTGGACAAAGCCGTTGGCCTAGCTGTTTCTGTTTCCTGTCTTTGTGCTAAGCTCAGTTAGCCGATGATAGCTTCGTATTTAGTGTACACACAAGAATCCTCTCAACTTTCCCTCAAAGTGGCTTTTTTTGCTAGATTACTACAGGGCAGCAGAGGACTAAATGATAGCTGTGCTCAGATAATTGCTTCTGACTTGATGATAATGTTTGGTGGTCAACAAAGCTACGCCCGCACAACAGACAGAAATGTGCCAATAAAGTGGCATGCTTTAGCCACACTAAGATGAATCATTAGAATCGTTCAGCTGTGGATCCATCATCACTGTTGTTTGCAGACAGATCCCGTTCCTGCTGCAGTCAGCAGACCTCCTCAGAGATGCACATTAATGAGGCTGCTCATTGGGCCTTTCCATGTACCCATTCAGAATCACGTGGACTCTGTACAAAGCCCTTCTTTGACAGTGGATATCTTTAAAAATGGTCTGTGGTGTGCAGTCCATCCGACTCAGCAATAGCTGCAAGAACAAAAATGTGTTGCTGATCAGACAGAAGACGCCACATAGAAAACTTGTCACTGGGCTTCTCACCCTAATTACTTACAGAAACTCTAAGGTCTCAACCAGTTTATAATGGTTTCACTAATTAGGGATAAGCCTTTCCTTGGTAGGGGAACTATTAATGGCACCACAAGAATGTGGAGCTATGGGTAATTTCTTTAAAAACAGGAAATGCATTGATGGCTGACCCAGCTAGACAAAATTGTGGCTCAGTGTCGAGCCTTTGCAGCAGTAGTGAAAGAAGCTGGACTTGTGATTTGCAAAAATAGAATAGAGTTTGTCATCTCATTCATTGGTGAGAGTAGTTCTTTCTGACACCCTGGCTCCTCCAGTCCAAGACACAGATTTTACCACGTACGAGGGTGCAGGTGTTGGTGGTTCAGTGTTTTCCAATTCCACTTTATGAAAACTTTTGGTAGTTTTAAATACCTGATGGATGCTTAAAAAAGGGCAGTATGTGCAGAGATTTTACTGTTCGCCTTTTTTTTCTAATTCAAATACATTTTTCAAACCTCTTTTTCTACCATTTCAATCAATGCAGTGACGGTTCAAAACATGCCTGTTCAGAAGGGTAATCAAATCTACAACAAACAATGTGCTTCCTTGGGGTCCTGAGCAATACAACTGCCTTGACATAGCTGCGTCACACATCCAGTGGCGGTTAATCAAAAAGAAACCAGTGAAATACACTCTGGTTTACAGGGAAAGACACCAGGGGCATCCTGGGATTAGGGGCCCAACTACGAAATGTCTATATTAACACCAGTATTGCTGTTTTTTTACAACAGTATAGTCATATAATTTAGTTTATATCTTAAAAAACACATTTAAGTGTGCAGTTACTCTTTAAATTCAAATTTAACATGGGCCTCCCAATGTAAAAGATTTGTTTTTCCAATTCAAAAGCGTCACTTAAGAGAAACCGGTAAAGACAAACATTCTTTTTGATAAGGAGTCTGGCTCAATTATAGCCATCAAACCTGCAACTAGATATGACTATAAACACAGGCAAGAGGCAAGGAGGTGAACAAATAAATATTTCCATTGGCTCTCCTCCAGGTTTTCCTCTATCTGCTCTTATGTAGGTCAGAATATTCAGCCTTTTTTGACATATCACTTCCTTCTTAAAAAGTAAAAAAAAAATGTCTTGACACAAGACCTCCTATGCTAGACTCTGACCTTTTTTCTCGAAGTCCTCAGACATGCATAAGTCATCGTACCAGAATCGCACAATTCAAATTTTCCACCTCCTCACACACAGCTGCATTCTTGGACTGGTCGTAGACACAGACGGGGGGAGAATGAGTCCACGTCAACTTTGTGGAAAATATCAGTAGTTGCATTTCTAAAATGTTGACCGTGAAACAAACGCACGGCAAAGTAGAGTTAATAGGCTACGGTGAACTGCTACAAGGCATGCTGGCCACCCATCTCACCTCTGTGCTTCTACTGTGGCTGCACATGTGAGAGCTGGTGATTGGTTTGGATACTTCACAGGGAGGAAGCATATGTCCTGGCACATGTTTCATAGTCCACACCTCATCTGCTTCCTTGTCTTTAGTTTTCATGCTGATCCTTGCTGCAAGTTTGCTCAGCATGGGCTCTGTAATTGTTCTCCCTCTGGCAGTATTATACATTTTTGGCAAAAACTATGCATTTACTTTAACTTAATAAATGGCTTTCAGTGCATTTAGCCTTCCCTCAAACTTTCTGGAATATAGCTTATGGACAAATGTGGCTTCCTTTTACTAAGATTAAGGATTTAGCAGTCATGTGAAGGTTATCTAGAAGCGCTAAGTCAAGGGCAACTATCTTTAGGTTTTGTGCCTCCTGGCATTTTGTTCACCTTTGTGAACAATCTCATTCAATAAAAAGTAAATGAAGAGGAAAATAAAAGCTGTCTGAGCTAATGAGCTTGGTCACTTAGCAAGCTTGCTAGCTCGATAGCTTAGCTTGGTCGCTGAGTTCACACAGTTCATTTAAAAGGCATTTTTCTCTCCTGTCTCTCAACTGTGTGTATGTCTCATAACTGTGTGTATGTCTCATAACTGTGTGTGAACTGTTTAGTGGATAAAGGTCATGGCCTACTCCAGCAGAGGAGGTTAAATAAAAGTAAAAGGTACAACACAGCTAGTGTGCTACGATGGCTATTTCCATTTTGGACTCAAAGGTGCGAATAAACAGCTCAAACCATGAGTAGAATCTACTAATTGCGGCAATTGCATTTGAATTAACTGCATTTACGTAAAAAATTGTGACTGAGCCTTGATAGTAACAATAAATAATTGCAGAACAGGGCAAAGAAAATGCAGTATTAGTGGTAATTATACATGAATGGCTTTATTTTGGAATAAATACACTGATGTCAAAGACAATTACAAATGCCTGTGTAAAAAAAGTATTTAAAAAGTATTTACATTATTTTTTGCACAGAGCTGAATAAATATATACATAGTATACAATACAGCCCATGTAGGTCATAGCTTTCTTTTGCTGTACAACGTGCAAAAGCTGATACGAATTAAAAAATTATAACCCAACTAACGCAGGATCCATCCTTTAGTTGGATGTTGGACTGGACAATGTGGCCCCATTAAGAAACAAAACATGAATATAATGGATTACAGGATTTCAGCAAGTTTGTAGAAGGAACAGCTTGGCTCTGGCTTTGGGGCCACGAACAAGGCGATCCAAAAAAACAGCAAAACGGAGGGCCTGCCAGTTTTTCTTCCCCTCTCCGCCTTATCGTTTCATTGATAATAAATTACAGTGGTAACTGTGCCAGACAGGCGTGACTCGACATGGCTGAACATCATGAACTGAGAAGACAATTGCTGTGGTCGAATGATAACAGAAATGAAGGAAGCAATCAAACGCGCTGAACACAGGAGGCGGGAATTGAATACAGCATGTGTCGCTCTTATGGAGATAAGATCAGGGCTATATTATAGCTGATCTCAGATAAGCAGTGTTAGGTTGGTTGCAGCCTGATGAAATCCCTGAGCTGGCGGACAAACCAGCTGACAGGGACCACTGACCATTGTCTCCTGGCCTGCTTTGTTTCGTCAGATCTGTCATTAAAAAACCACCAATGGGACTTCAGATTCTAGTTCAAACTGTTTCCATGACTGCTGCTGAGTCTGCAGAAAATGCTTACTTCCTAGTGTTGGAGCAGCAATGCTGGCTGCATCATTATTGTTGGTTTCCGTGAAAGTATCAGGAGTAAAACATGTAGAAAAAACACAGTGGTTGTTACTAAAGATATCTATCCAATCTGGTATCAAACTTTATCTGCTCGAGCTGTTAACCAACAGATTTTATTTGCATTGTATAGATGCAGCAACAACAGAACAGAAAGTACAACCATGTAAATGATGTGATCCGTTTCATTTCTTAAATTAATTCCAAGATGTTTAAAGACTCCCTGAAAAAACACCTGTAATGGCAGATGAAGATCGCACATAATGTTAATCGTGTGAGCATTACGTATTAGTCCAGTCTGTAAGAAGTATGGACGTCAATCCATGTATATTGGAGTAGTTGTTTGGAAAACCAGAAGGCTTCGCTGATCCATTTATCAGACTCCACTGAAACTTTGAAGCCTCAACAGTTAAAACAATATGACATGAAATGGGTTTCAGATTCAAAACTAGATTGATTGCTTGCAAATGGGAACTTGTGCTGACAGTACAAAGGATCCCACTACATTTTATTTGACCTTTCTACCATGGTACTTTGCCATCAGAGTTAGACCTTGACAATGTCTTTTGAAGTCAGAGTGATGGCAGTGAAAAATATCTCACAGCATTCATCCTGCGGCTTTCTTCCTTCCAAAATTCTTGGTTTCCCATGATGCAGGTGGAAAAACTTGCACCCGACAGACACGGTGTGTGTGTGTGTGTGTGTGATACTTGCAGGGGGATTCGATTTAGTCCTTTTAAAACATAACAAAGATTTGTATTTTATAAGTTGTCGTCATTAGCAAGGCATTAGGTTACAGAAGTCCAGCTCCTGTGGCTTGCGTATGCCAGTGCAGTGGTCCCTTGGGAGCAGATGCCCAGTTTGGGTTTTGCAGTGCAACGGTCGTCTCTTGAAGCCCTTCCCACAGGTTCTGGAGCAAGGTGACCACTGCCCAATAAGCCACTCCGGACAGGGGTCTCCACAAACCCTGGTGGCCGAGGGTCTTTGTGAAGGATCACAGTCCGACCCTGGCTTCCCGTCTGGTGTCAGACACTGCACCATCCTCCTCTGGATCCCGCCGCCGCAGGTCACTGAGCACCGATCCCAACCTGTGGATATCCATTTCCCGAGAGCAGGATCCTCCTTTCCGTAAGACTTCTTCAGGGTGTCTCCCCTGTTCTCCTTGACACTGTCCTCAGCCAGGACACTGTTGTGGGAGTCTACGCGCCCCTCTTTCTTCAGGGTCTTGTCCTCCTTGGTCTGACGGGCGAGGTAGAAGGAGTAGCGGATGCGAGGCGGCGTCATCTGGCCTGCACACAGCACCTCCACAGTCAGGGATTCTCCCAAGGGCTTCACGGCCTGCAGGGTCTCGGCGAGGCCGGATGTGCCGCTGTAGCGCAGCAGACTTTTCTGTATGATGATGTCCCTCTCTCCAGCCGACACCACGTAGTTCCCATTGAGCAGGTAGTGGCCCTCGCTGTTTTTAACCGCCAAATAGTTGTCATCGCTCCTCATTCCCTTGTAGCCTCGCTGACGGATGTCTATGTTGGCTGCGCCCACCGGTAACAAGACCACAAAATTGTAGCCGTGCCTGCATGCCAAAACATTTTGCAGTCAATGAGAGCTCAAAATAGTAAATAGTTGATAATGCTATCATGTTTAAATAAGGGCGGGGGGGTAGGAATGACGTTAGCAATGTCCCATGACGATGTGGATTTTACTCACTCAGGCCTTGTAAAGAGTCCCGACACCTTTTTGCAGCCCTTGCTGTCACCTCCGCAGATTCCACACTTGTCAAACTTCTTGGAGGAACCAATTTTTCCATCACAGCCGGCCTTGATGCACTTCCCTTGGACACACACTCCTGTGGAGTCAGGGGAGCACGGAGTCCCGTCCACAACCTTGTTTGTAGAAAGACACTACAAGGTTAGCTTTTCATATACTATAAGTATAGAATTATTTTTTTTTTCTTTATCACAAACAGCAAACACAACAGGAACTTTAAATGGGTCTATACTCTCTTTATATAACAGTCCCTTGTGAATTTACTTTGCTTTATATCTTTATTCCAGGTTATTAAAATATAAAAACAGTTCTCCATATACTGTACTGTCCTGTTTTTTCTAAATTAGGCAAATAGGCCAGCAGACAAAATAAACATTGAAATTCTGCCTCATAAATGTACTAGTTACGGACAAATGTATTTTACAGTGAACACGCAGGAAGATGTAAGATACAATCTGAAGTAAGCCTCACTTCCCGCTCACATTTTAAACTAAACTGTCCACAGTAAATACTGTACACTTGTTTCTTTGGTTCAAAGTCACAACTAGATGGTTAAAACATCCAGCTGCTCCGTGACTCAGAGCTCCGTGTCCCCTGAGCACTCTTATCTGCTCTTCCTGAGCCGGTATGATGGACCGAAGTGTGAACCCGGCCTCACTGCTGCTGAAGCTCACTCTACACCCTGCTATCTGAAAGAGTGAAACTCTCCTCCTCTCCTTCATTCCTTCTTTCACTCTTTGCACTTACACCAGAGGCAGCTGGCTGACATTTATTCATGTTCTCCTAACTTATCTCCTAACACTATCTCAAAACCTTAATTTATCATGACTTTTCTCCAATCACCTATCACATTATCTTTGAATTTTGTTCAGACAAAGAAGAAAATAAACTTGCTGTTTACCTTGGGTGCCAGGACATAGAAGTAGCCAGTGCCGTTAGCCCTGCAGATGAGTTTGCACCTGTCGTCGGTGGACACTCCAGAGTACTTGGGTACCCACACCACGGAGGGGTCGATGCGGTTACTGTTAAAACTGCGGCCACTGGTTGCACACTGCTGCTCGCGATAAGTCTTACCTACACAGAGGGAGAACATACGAGGTGAAATGGGGGGGACGCTAGGGAAAAAATGCCATTGGACATAGTTGTCTGCTAAGAGCCTCGTACCTGCATCAGGGCAGTGGTTCAGGTTGCAGGAGCGGTATTTGACCCTCACTCCTTGGCAGTATTTACCCCCATTTGACGGAACCGGGTTGTTACACTCTCTTTTGGAGAGTTGGACGCCGCCTCCACATGTGCGTGAGCAGGAGCCAAACTGGCCCCACCTCCCCCAGCGTCCGTCCACCTGGAAATGCACAAACCAGTGGTTTAAAGGCCGTTCCTCAATCACACCTCAGTCGAGGTAAACATCTATCTCAAGAACGCTGTCTTTTTGTGAGCCTTACCTTCACATTTCGGACCCGTTTGTTAGAGCAGACCCCTTGGTTGCAGACCTGATTGTCCCCGCAGTGTGTGCCATCCGCCCAGGGGAAGTGACGAGTCATACACACCAGGTGGCCGTTGGATTTCCCTGTGCACCACAGACGCCCACACGCCGGCTGCATAAAGGGACAGGGCTTGGAGTCTTCTCCAAACGCGAGCTCACACTGGCGGTTGAGGATGTAGGACGTTCCCGGCAGCACGTCGGGGAGGACCAACGGTTTCGGAGGCTGGTCGAGCAAACATTCCCCTGCAAGAGGGAGACTCGGTGAGCAACGCAATGAAGCAACTGTTATCTCTGGTTTCAGTGCCTGTCTTGTCCACCTTTGAGCACTCAACACGCATTTAAAGTAAGAGCCAACATTTCACCAAAATACTCCCACAAAATCATGAAAAACAGTGCATTTCTTCATCAATATTTCCACTAACCTTTTCATTAAGCGTGTGTGTGTGTGTGTGTGTGTGTGTGTGTGTGTGTGTGTGTGTGTGTGTGTGTGTTGTGGATGGGATTGTTGGTTGGAGGCAGTAAACAGATATTGCCCTGGTGATTTGGGCTCTTTGAAGTGAAAATTCAGCCTGATGCAGTGCATTCAGCATATGCCACATACCACACACATGCATGAGCACCCCCCACCCACTCACCCCCATCCTAACTTCTCCCTAAAAACCCACAAGCTCTTCCTCTCATGTGTGATCCCACCCAGGAATAAAGTTATACTATGAATAATCTTCACTTTTTAGATATGAGTTTAAAATCCTATAACTTTAAACCAAAATGACATATGGCAAGCGAGCAGTTCAAAGGTCAAAGGACTCCATTTACAAATGGCGACCAGAAACTTTTCCAGGAACAGGCTGATAATAGGAAGAGTTTGACGAGCAAGTGCTTGGAAACATGAAAGATCAACGTCACTGGATGAGAAGGTTTCCAGGAGGTGGTTGTTTTTTCACACAACCCTTATGGGGAATTTACACATCCAAAACAAGCACTTGCACTAAACCTATGTGCACTCGCTTTGAAGTGTTTATCATGCCATTTGTGTCGCGTGAGTTCATAACCAAGCAGTGAGTGAATGAGCTGTAACCGGTGGCAAATTAGTTAACTATTTCCATTTCATTGCAAATTTGGCAGAGAAACACTGATTGACTGATAATACAATCCAATATAAACAAGTCACTCTACGCTGAACAAGCTGAGCCTCACCTCTTCTTCTTTCTCTCCAAAGAGCAATCATTGAAAACAATAGCTGGTATTGTGTGTGTGTGTGTGTGTGTGTGTGTGTGGAAATGAACAGGTTACAAATTTTGGGTGCAGCACTGCATGAAAACTGCCTCAAGCATGTGGCAACATGTTTTGTTTTTTTCTTCTTTCGGCTGCTTTTTGAAGTGTAGATTTATGACAGATGGCCTGGAGAAACTAACATACAAGATTGTTGGATAGAAATGACTCCCTGTCAAGTCTAAAATGTTCTTCGCTCTGGACCAGTTTGTGTTCTTTTGTTCTCAGACCATCTCTGGACACAGAAAGAAGTGTGTCTTTTTGGAGTAAACCTGCATGGGAAACCCTGGGCAGATACACCTCTCTGTCCAAACCACTGTGGCGACTCTCCCCAGAACAAGCTCTCTAATTTGGGACAGATGTGGGGGCAGTTTTAAAATAAACGTTTAGCATTTGCTCCGAGGCTTAGTCCTGCGGTCTGGCCTGCTTGGCAAACAATCCGCATCCAACCGAATGAATTTCTCTCTGGCTTTGCTTTTCTTTTCTACGAGCATGGTGCTATACAAGTTTAGGGTTAGATGTCATACTTGAAGCAAGACTGATGTTAAAATTCAATCATGCTCTCGTTTGCATTTACCTCAAACGACTGTTGCAGATTAAGAGTTTTTTTTTAACCCAGGCAAATTAAGTAAAACCCAGTAAATGTCACAAAGAGAGCCTGCTCCTCTTCAAGAACTGCATATCTTGATCCACGGACTAACAGAACCGTAAACAGAAAAAGGTCCGATTATATGAATAATACAATAAATATGTGTTCTCCTAATGTGATTAACCGCTAACTACATGTTTTTTAAGCACTGTTGGTGGCCCTTTAAAGGAGTGCTTTCTCAATTTAGCATTGCTCTCCTGTGACATTGTCGGATTGATGGTAGAAAGTTTAAAAGAAAAAGTATCAAAAGTGATGCAGCAAACCCAAAGACATTTTCCTTCTCAAAACCTGGTGCTTACATTACCCACAATGCAACTCGACTGCTGGTGTCTTATGCTAGTAGAGGCTAATGTAGCCTCGAGCTGCTAGCCTCATGCAGATGTAGTGCTCCCCAAAACGTGTTAACGGACTTTGATGCGTAAAATCTGCGTAGTTACCCTTCAATGATTTGTAAGTGTCTGTTTGCGTCTGTCTCGACTTTGACTTTCCACCTCTTCAAACACAACCGTGGGGCTGCTAGCAGACAAACACAGGGGTCAGGGGTCGTGCAAGCTCACCATGCCCGCTGTCCAGGAATTCAGTGATGATGGCAGCACTGCAGGGGGACCACGGGCTGGTGCGGTTGATCTGAATGAGAGTGGGAGACATCATGTGGTTGTCCTGCAGTTTCCCAAACACGTCCTCGCAGGCCCTCACGTTGTCGTGTGGCATGTTGAACACGTGTCCTGCCGAGAGGGAACGAGACGTCAAGACGTCTGTCACGAATTACACGGATTCTTTAATCTGTAAACTGTGCACGTGCGCTCACGTTATAGGAAACGTCGCAGTACTAATGCGTGTTGAATAATGGATGGTGTGGGCTCACCAAGCTCATGAGCGGTGGTGAAGGCTGAGGGTAGGCCGTCATCTTCGATCACAGAGCAGCTCCTCTTGGGGTCACACATGGTGCCAACATCTGCCATGCCAAGAGTGTCACAGGTGGAAGCTCCACACAGGTCCTGGACAAAAGAAATTACATATATATTTTATATTTTTTGCATTAATTCATATGAGTTCATATCAGAGTTAGAGAAAAAGTCAGACAAACAAGGCACTTACGTAATAACTGTTTATTACAATTTGAGTCTGGATTTTTGTAACACTGGCCTTCATTTCTGTGTGTTGTGAAAACATTGTAATCTCATTAGAAAAATTCGACCTTGCAGTTTGTTTGAAACCTGTCTGATCATGATTTGTTTCCGTTTCTCGCCCTGTCTGACCTCTTTTTAGTGATGTCTCCTTGTTCCATTCAGCAATTAACTTGATGCCAATAGGAGCGTTGGCCAAAAGTACAAACATAAGACAAGTTGCAACAAACTGGATTTATCCTTATATTCTCATGACAGGAAAGTTTTTTTTTTTTCTAGAGATTAGGAAAAGATGCGATAGTGTTAAGTCAGGCTTTCCACCACCCAGTCTTGAAGTGTTTTTAGTGGGCAACAGTGTTTAGAGCACACCGTCTTCTATGAAGTAATGCAACTGTCCCCAATCATAACATTTCCATGCCAGAGCAGAGTTTCCAGATGACCTATTTCTCCACCGCAAGGTTTTAAAAAACCCCAATCTTAGCGAGCATCCATTTGGAGCTGAACCTACTAATCACAGGACAACTTCTGCAGTAACCGCCACAGAGAACCCGCCCATCTGCCTGGCTCCTAAACAGCTCTGTCTCTACAAACCCCAGAAACACAGAAAACCAATGGAGGTCAGCTGCTGGAGATAAAGCAAAGCACTGGGTTAATGCCACACAGCCCTCGCAACCCTCCTCTGCGCTGGACGTACACCGAGCCAAGTGAAGACCCTGAGTGCTATGACAAATCACTCCTAGAATAAACCACAAAACCCACAATTGTTGGCCTGCGCAAATTTAGGCCAGATGTGCTCATGTGTGCAGACGACATCTGAACGATTGGGCCATTTATGAGCAAAAAATAAAAAAAACTGCAAAAGAAGATGGGAGAAGAAACATCAGTGTCAATGAGTTTGTTCTTTGCTTTGACCTACTTCTCACATCTGTCATCTCTTTGCATTTTGTGTGTGTTTCTACAATTTAAAAACAATATGCAAGTTATCTCAGCAAAGGAATATTTCCATTTTATTTTGTGTACAGATTTCAATGCATTTAACTGCCATCTGACACGTTACCGTCTATCACGTTGCTGAGAGTTTCAGCTAGTACTTTTTAAACTCAAGACAAAAAGGAGTGGAAAAATAGGCCTGATAACACGGTATCGGTTTACAAAGTGCACGAGACATTTTTGGGTGTACTCTTTTCTTTCTCAACCAATTATCTATCACGTAAGTAAAGGCAAACAAGCTAAAACCTAAATACTTCAGATTTACAGTCAGACTTTGTCTTTAAAGACTGGATGTTCACATACAATAAACTTTGTGTGTAACTTAATGAATTGAAAAACTTCCAACATTCTTTACACAACAGTCATGCTGGCTATAGAGTTTAAAGACAACCGCAGTTGCCTCTGGACAACACCGAGTTGGTCTTCATAAAACCAGCAAATTACTCTGTGGGCTGGTAAACGGCAAACAATAGACGTGCCTTAAATGCCCATTGAAAGCCATGGTAAACCGAAACAACACCACTGACTAAACCGACTAATTTCTGTCACCAAGTCGTGAATCAACAGGTGGACTATTGTTGACTTTTTGACCTTTGGCGATCTGCTGAGCAGAATGCTCCATTATCAGTGGGCCTTTTGTGCAGACGCCTTATTTGATATATGAAGTTAAAGTGTGAATATGTAATAAGTACCTTCAGTCTGGGAGGGGTGAACTTGTTTGTATGCATACTAGAGGCCTGAATGGCAAAAGGTTTGGTAAAGAAAAATACATCCGATTTTCAAAAACACAATCTGGCGGTTTAGCATGATTTCATGATCATATTCGCTGGCCTCTCGTACTTTACTGGAGCACCTCAAGTGTTGAGATTCTGGATGTTTTGCACATGATGTCGGCAAGCCCGAAACAATCTTGTACATTTGTTTGTGAAAAAGAATTCTTTCTGATGGATTGAATATTATTTGTATTCATAGATAAAGCTGACAAAAATGTAATTCAAACCGTGTCACTCAAACAATGACTGAATCCCTTGACGTCTGTCTCACTGCTTTATATTGCAGATTACAGCCGTGTGACTCACCGTCTCCAAGCAGTTCCAGTGCAGTTGAATGGGGTCATTTTAAACTGGCTGCAGAGTTTATAACACAAACTCTGCACGTGGAGCGTATGATCGCAGAACCTGCTAACGCCCTGGATTATGTAGCTGAAATACTTTTATGGAAAATGCGGCCCATCTTTGCGATGTCATGGCCTAAACAGGAAGAGCATGCCGTAGGAGCGTTACGGCAAAAAATAATGAATGAGAGAGGAAGTGTGTGACAGGGTGAAGAATGTGTTGTGAAGATGCAGCTGTTGAGGCGGACTGCAGCTGTGCAGGACTGCCCCTCCGGAGCGGCTTGTTTCAGACTGGGGTTGAGCGGGTGGGGCCGAAACATGGAGGGATGTGACATCTCTGACATGCACATAGGAACCCCCCCCCTACATCACTCCCCCGCTCCCTCCATCCCTCCCTTCAGGGGCCTGTTTAATGAGGAGCAGGCGAGGCAGTGGGTAGGGCTGGAAAACCCACAGCTGGAGGAGGAATGGGAAATGCTGAGAGAAACAGGACACTTCCGACTAATGCATCCCTGGTGGCACTGAAATTTGGCAAAGTTGCAGTCAAAACAAGCATTCGTTTGAGGTCTGCAATACGATCATGTGTCGGGTCATGTTAGTGACATTGCACAAAGGTAATTCAGCACATTATACCGTTTCACTCTTTCATTCCCACTCTTTCATCTGCAGTTGGCCCTTTGACTGCAGACTGAACAGTATCCAAATATTACAATTCTCAGTAATTAAATATATACCTGCTGATTTGATTTGTCAACTTTTATTCAAAGTATTCAATGTCGAAATGAAATCAAAGTAGCCAGAATGCACGGAGCAGACGGTTCATCATTGATCAGCGGTTTGCACACCGACGAATGAGTGTGAGTAATGACTTCATCTCTGACCCGGTGTCATCTGCCAAATATTTGGGAGTGCTGCGAGAACTCGGAGGTGGGTTCCAAGTCTATAAAACTACCCTCTCAGGATCCATGAAGAGACTATTGCTCATTTCCTTATTGACCCAGCCTCAATGTCGAAGCTGTGACGGTATTGGTGGACTGTACATTCACTGAGTGCCATGGAGAGTGTGTTTTGAGAGGAAACCAATAACCTGATGCAGCAGGAGTGATTATGTTTGATAAGAGATGAACTAAACTAATTCATAGCTTATCAAACATAATCATGTCTTACACACAAAAGACACTGGATGTTTTTTATCTTTATCATCGCCTCATTCTTTTAGAGCATATACAGATTAAATAAAGATTTGCGCATTTCTGTGCGTAATTGCGCATTACTAATATAACACATTCTCCTGTGTTTCTTCAGACCCTGCAGCGTGAACTGAGATGAATCCCTTTTTGTTTACCTGTCTGGTGAAAAGGATTGCCGTGTCCCAGTAGTCTGGCTGCTTATCGTTGTTTTTGTTCATCTTTTTTTGCCAAGTGCAAAAGTTTCGCAGCGTCATGGCTGCGTTCCCGGACACCTTGAGTCCTTTGTCCTCCTCGGATATAACTACGATCTTCACAACCACGATGCTGATGGAGTTGAGAATACTGGGGTGCCTGTAGAGCTTCGCTGCCACTGACATCAGTGTCAAGAGGTAGTGTTTTAAATCGTCTCCATGGAACTGCGCCATGGACTCGTCCGCCACCACGAGCGTCTCCACGTACCTGGGGATGGAAGCGAACCTTTTGGTTCTCCCCATCTTCTTCAGCATCGTTTCGGTCACATTGTTGTCATCTTGCAGTCGCTTGTATTTCTCCAAGGATTGCGCAACTTGGAGATTTATGTCGCTGTCCACTGCGCACCTAGAGGTTGAATTGAGCTTCAGGTTGTTGCTGGTTCTGCGCCGGATGATGTGCGCACCTTCCACGCTTGTGGTGTCATTTTGCACCGGGCTGATAAAATATTCCCAGCCCTGGAAGCCAAATGCACCCCGTAAACCCTTACAGAGGCTCAGAGCGGCATAAGAATGTGGGTCAGCGTGCACATATCCGGAGTAAAAACACCGGCTCAGGTCAGTGGAGACATCGGTGTTGGAGAGCCAGAATGCATCTTGGTTAGAAATGGAAGGCGCAATGAAATTCGAGTCCTGGTGTACGTCGATCACAAATTCCTGCTGGAAAGCTCGTATTTTTAAAACACATTTTCCATTTAGGATTCCCACGTCGTTGTCAAAATTCCTCCTGTCATGTTTGTGGTTATCCAATCTAATGGGGAAGCAAAGTTCAGTTTCCATGCTACGAACAAGTTTTGAGAGTGAAACCACAAAGCAGAGGAGAAAAGTTGTTCTGATAAACATGACGATGTTTGTGTTCAATAAAGAATGCAGTGACCATCAGAGAAAACGAAAACGGTATTGAACCCGCAAAATCAATGGATGCGGTGAGAACCACAGATCAGGATGAAGAGCATAATCCAATGCGCAGGACTCTAAAACAATGCAGGTCGTACAAGTCCATTCAGTGCAAACTCCTCCTGGTCATGACCCATTCTCCACCTGTGTATGCTGAGTCGACTGCTGCCTTCTGCGGACTTTATGCATTTTCGTCATGTGTTAAAAAAAAAATTATGGAAACTCAATCTCTCTTTTGGAGGGGGGCCGTTTTTGGAGGCGCTCATTGGACGCGCGTCTCAGCTCACGACTTTTTCTGCGGCCACTTGAAACTCAGCAAACCGCAGGCCTATCATCATGTCCCAACACACTGGGATGAATTATCAGATGTCTCACTCAGACCCGGCCTGACGCCGCACAATATGCAAGTTATTACTCAACACTCTTGCCCACATTGCGGAGACGCACTTAATACATTTCATCTCACATAAATAGCAGCACGCTCATGCCTATTATAAATAACTAAGAAGGGTGCTTTAATTACCTACATCTTAAATGCAACATCAGTGGGCTGCAATAATATTACAGAGATGTTAAAATCAGATGAACGTGACACAAGTCCCAATAATATTGCAGCTGAAGTCCTGTGGAGGAACAGCTGCTGTGATTCAGCTTTCATGTCGTGGTCAGGTCGATTACTGTCCGTAACTCGCATACGACATCTGGTGGACAGCACAGGAACTGGGATTGTGTGTAGTCTGATTATTACTGATGACATAAATGCAAGTAGGCTACTATATTTTGGTATGATTATGAATTACTGATAATGCCAGCATATATTAGGGTATATGTCCACTACATTTCAGAGGGACATATTGTTTTACTCAGTTGCATTTACTATTTACTTTGCAAATTAAACCTTTTTTTAGAGAACATGTGATCCCCCTTTCAAATATATTGATTTGTTATATACCACCTGTATTTATCAATTTAATCTAATGTAGCCTATCTGTTTTAATAATCAACAATGCCAGATATAATAATCACAATCATCATAATAAAACACTCTGAATGTGCCCATGCTGCATGAGTTGGCTACTTTTACATCAAGTAGCCTACATTTTGCATTTATACTTCTACTGATTTTGAATTCAGGACTTTTATTGTTGTGTAGATACTTTTACTTGAGAAAGGGATCTGAATAATACTTCCTCTACCATCACGGAGGCACATGGAGAACCACAGACAGGTGAAAGAGGGTTTAGGAGAGGAGGGGAGGTTGAGAGGCAGACTTGTTGAACTAAAAATCTGTTATCTGTGCAATACTGTGTAATGGATATATGTGCAGCAAATTCATTTTGTGTTTAAATAAGTGGCTCATCTTAAGACCACGTCCCCCTCCAGCCAGCTGCCTGCTCTGTTGTCCGTTCTCAGCCCGTTGTCAGGAACGCAACAGTGGTTGCTAGGCTAAGGACCCCTGCTTGCGTGTTGTCCACCCAATAGCCAGTTTTGAGTTTTGTATAACAATATTAAATAATGCTTTAAACAACTGTTTGTTGTTAAAATACGGAAATAAAATACTTATATGAAAGGCCACGAGTATAAATGTGCATGAAGTCAAACTTAACTGTGTCTTTTGCTACTTTTGTGAAACGGCAGTTGGCTAACCTACTTGCTCTCGAGCGTTAATCATTTTAGTTGTCACCGTATCCAAAAAAGTCCAACACGAAGCTGTGCAAAGTTTAGTTCACATTAGCATGTAAACTAGGCTGCTAGCTAGGATAGCTCGGCTAGGATTTGGGAAGTTCAAAGTTGTGTGTACAAGTACACACGTATCCTGTGCTGTCACGTAAGGAATGAAACAACCGCTCGTCTACTGTCCTAACGGATACGTTGTTTTCACCTCCTGCCGTTAACCGTCGACATGAACTCGTATCACGTCTTGGAGCTGGTGGGAGAGGGCTCATTTGGTCGAGTTTACAAGGGAAGGAAAAGATTTACCGGCCAGGTGAGTGGCTTTTGTTTGAACCGTCTGATAGCTGTGTGACTGTTCAGCCGTGTGTCGTTTCACCGTCTGTGTGTCTGCGTGTCCATTAGGTGGTGGCTCTGAAGTTCATGCCAAAGGTGGGTCGGTCTGAAAAGGAGCTGCGCAGTCTCAAACGAGAGATTGAGATCATGAGGGGGCTTCAACATCCAAATATCGTTCAACTCTTTGACAGCTTTGAGACTAAAACTGAGGTACTACTGTAATCTCCTCTCAAAGAAACAATGCATGCATGTGCTTAGTTCACAAACTATTGCTACTAATTACATAATTTGATCCACCTAACCACTTATCTTTCCATGTGAGTTCATAATCGCTCTCTATGTTTGTAACAGGTTGTGGTTGTCACAGAGTATGCAGAGGGTCAGCTGTTCCAGATCCTTGAGGATGATGGGAACTTACCAGAGAGCCAGGTAATCACTGTCAGTGTACAGAGCAATGCCAGGAGTCACACTCATCATGGTTTCTCATGATCATCATTCTTCCACTTCCTTCCAAGGTCCGTGAGATCGCCTGCCAGCTGGTCTCGGCTCTGTATTATCTACACTCCCATCGCATTCTTCATCGGGACATGAAACCACAGAACATCCTGTTGGGGAAAAGTGGGGTCGTGAAACTGTGTGACTTTGGGTAGGTAGCTATTTTAAAGACAAAGTAGCTGCATCGCTCAAATACCACGAAGATCAGCTACATGTGATGCAATCTTGCCGTAGGTTTGCGAGGGCCATGAGCGTCTCCACCTTGGTGCTGACTTCCATCAAGGGAACGCCACTGTACATGTCTCCTGAGCTGGTGGAGGAGAAGCCGTATGACCACACTGCTGATCTCTGGTCTCTGGGCTGCATCCTTTATGAACTCCACACGGGGGCGCCTCCGTTCTACACCAACTCCATTTTCCACCTGGTGCAGCTCATAGTGAGGAACCCAGTCAAATGGCCAGACACTATGAGCGACACCTGCACGGTACAGTATACATTAGCTACAGTCTGATCGTGCTGCATCGTGTGTAGGTCAAAGCTAACATCCGCACCGTGTTCAAATCGTTAGCCAGGTGGCCAGAGCTGTGCTTACGGGCAGGACCATAAAAGGGATTTTAGAAATACTGAGGTTTTAGTCCAAGTACCACCTCTACACCCGCAGCCCAGTTCAGATCATTTTGACCAGACCCCAAAAACAAATGTCTTAAATCTGGAGCTCTCCTCTTATTATTGCCATAAAAGTAGTCAAATGTATCATTTATTTTCTTTTTTGCCACAGAAGGTAAACAGCACTTCAGGGGACTCAAACTCTCACGTTTTAGCCGAAAGTAGTGAGGAAATGTCCCTGTTTTTCTCAGTGATGGCTACAAGCCTGTTAACGGATAGACGAGTCATCGGTGCTAATCTCATGTTTCCCTTCAAGAGTTTCCTGAAAGGCTTGTTGACCAAAGACCCTCAGAAGCGGTTGTCGTGGCCGTACCTCCTGAGACATCCCTTTGTTGCTGATGGTGTTTTAGGTGATGTTTAAAAAATGCCAAATGAGCATGACGCTGGTCTGTTTTTGAGATTATTCTAATGTCTGATTTGAACTCTTTTATTCCCGTGTTGATGTGTTGGCCCAGTGCTGTCAGACACAGGCGTTTTCAGCCCTCTGACAGTCACACCCACCCCAGACATGATGGCGCTGAAACTTCAGCAAGTGGCGGCAAAGACGGTACCGACTCCTGGAGGGAGCAGATTATTGCGGAGGGCCAGGAAACAGACAGACGACGGCAAAACAGGGAAACCGGCAGGCGGTGATGGTGCGAAAGTGAGTCACATATTGATTTTTCATTCTTAAATTAGTCACATGGAAATTCATGGAGGAGCTTTAAGCCGTTCTGTGTACACTTGACAGAAAGAGAAGGACGGAGTGGGAAATGATAAGGTCAACTATGCAATAACAGCAGCATCCCCGAGAGCCAAGCCGTCTTCCAGTGAGGTCTCCGTTACCTCAGTACACTCGGTCATGACAGCTGCCAATCAAAGTCTACACCCAAAGACTCAAGCCTGCGTGAAATCCAAACACAGGTGTATGGAAGTTCAGAATAAAGGTACAATAGTCTACCAAAACAGACTGAGGTGTGTGTTCACGGCTGTGGTCATTTCCTCCGCAGGGGTCAGATCAGCAGGGACTATGAACAGGAGTTTCCCTCTGTAGAGGTCGGGCCGCGACTAGTGCAGGGATGCAGTGCAGACAGCCGGACCACACTGCACAGGCAGGTCAGTGCCGGCTGCTTGAAGACATTTCCAATTGAGAAAATGTGTCTTGTTCCATAATGTAGAGTATATATTCCCTTCCAGCTGCAAATCTGCCCTGGTAATAGATAAACTGTTCGCTATCTTAAAGTCAATTTTTCAACCTGGACCCTAATTTCCCATGTTTTGTGTCGTAAGTTACTGATGGGGCAACAATTTTTGAAATTGGTCCAGTATTGAACAAGACGCTGTAACCGGCAGCCAAGCTGTAAGGACAACTGCGCACCGTCAATACTGAAATCGTTGTTCAAACACTTATAATACAATCTGAGTAGCAACAAAAAGCACTTTTAGTTAACGTTACTTGACATTGATGCTGCACAATAGCCCTGGTTTTGTTCAATACTGGACCAACTTCTAAAATTGTTGTCCCGATTAGTCTCTTAGACACAAAATATGTGAAGTTCCTTGTTGAAACATATCATAGTTACGCTTTAAAGGAAAATGTGTCTTATAGTATGAATGATGTCTTGTTCTTTCAGGATGTGGACTGTGAGGATTATTGGGAGAAACTTGCCCAAGAATCAGATCCGAGCAGGCAGCAGAGAGAACCGTTAAATTACAGTGCAGTTATACCTCAACTGAAATCCAAGATCCTGGCATTTAAAGCTCAGGTACTTGGGTACAATATTCAATCAAGCATAAATTGCTTCTCCCGCCGAACAATTTAACATGTAGTCTTTTTTCTTTGTACGGTTAGCTGACAGGTGGCGTTATGAAAGAACCGTGGCGGGTTCACCTCCCGCTGAAGGTCTTGCGCAACCTGATTGTGACCTCTGACCTTGATAAGTCGCATCACGTTGGTCATGAACTCCCTCGTGTCCTCTTTGACCTCGTCCGTGATGCTGTAGAAAACTCGCACGTCATCAAGGTCAGTGCTCAGGAATGGAACCATATCCAGCAATGAATGAAACAATCCTGGCACAGTATTCCTATTTCTTTTCCTACTTTTTTTCCTTACTCAGCAGCCATGGAGTGTCCGAGCATATGGAGAAATGATTGTTGTGCTTCTGATCTACTGGGAGAAGCACTGTGACTGGGTGGAAGAAGAGCACAGGTTAAGATTTAGCACTGAAGCTGATCTTGCTAATTAGTTGAACCCTGTACGTACAGTGAGTGACTATCGTAAATCAACTATTGCAGCTCATCATCTGTTCTCTCCCTGTAGACCAGAAGAGTTCACCAAGCCTTTCATCACAATCCTCAGTGAACCAGACCTCGTCCCTTTGGCGGTGAGCACTCATTGAAGTTAGTCTGTGCATTTCATAGACTGACTGGCGATTTATTTTTGTTTATATATCTTGTTAGTTGTGTGACACATTTGACTTTGTGATCTCTTCTGTAGCATCTGGCTGCCTCTGTTTTGTCTCTGTTAACACAACACGATGTTCACGTCAAAGTGGATATGGACAATCTAACCTCCTTGCTGAAAGAACTGCTTTTGGACTCCTATGAGGTACTGAAACTGTGAGAAGTAATCTGGCAATAATTTGACAACTTTGACCAGTTTAAATTGATCCACTATTGTGTCATGTGCCTCGTCAGCCCCAACTCTCTCTCCCCTCTGGCTTTGGACTCTGTGACGGCGTCCTGTCTTTAGTCCTGCACACACTCTCTGAGGTCAGACAACAACTACAATGTGTTAAAAACAACTTGACTGGATAGACACCAGATAGACCTGCAATTTCTTCCTCTGAGCTTTGCCTGATTTTTCTTTTAACAGCAGGAAAATAGCTCTTCAAGTTTGGACCCAGTAATGTTTCTGGATTTATGGAAAGCAATTGGCAGTTCACTAGCCAGGACACCACCAGGCACAGACTTCTGTTCGGCAAATGGTAAATATACGTACATGTCTAATGATGTCCACCATTGTTTAACAACACTAACAGCGTCTTTTCAAATTTTTTCCTTTTCTTTTGACATCAGGGCTTCATTCCTTTTTGTCTACCGCGCTGTTCATCTTCACCGAGGATCCACACTCATGCATTGCTCTGTTTTCTGAGCCCGAATCAACATGTGTGTACACTCTGGGCCAGCTGCTGGGCACCGACTGGTTGGTTCTCAGATTTCCTAACTTACCGTTTCATTCGTACCACCAATCTTAGAGCAGCACAGCTGCTACGTCTGAAGCTAACAATATCATATGATGTTCCCTCCAGTCTTCATTTGTTTGCTGAAGGCCGTCCTGGGAGACTCGAGGTGGATCCGGGTCCTGACAGCCTGTCTGTGTTGAGCTGCCACTTGTTGTGCTTCCCGTTCGCTCTGGACCTTCCTTCAGACGCCGTGTCCGCGATTTTACAGTCGTACGACAGTTGTGGAATAGTGGCGAGCCTCCTGCAGGTGAGAGCCTTCCCGTGCTCCAATAAAGACCTTGCTGACAAACACAATCCTCTGATGCAACGCAGGATAACTCTTGCAGTAGGCTCACATCAGCCACACACTACTGTACATCTTAATGTCTCTGTTCTTTTGCGAGAGCGATGCGCCGTTTGTTGTCGGCTGTTTGATCTGTGACGAGTTGTCTGGGTGATTTTTGTTTTTTTCCATGCTTTGGCAGGTAATTCAGACTCTTCCTCCTGCGCTGTTGGAGCTGCCTCTCTCCCTGCTGAGCCGTTTGCTCCTGTGTGACCCCGAGCGCTCCATTTCCTGCCTCGGAAAAGACGCTCGTGGTTTTTTCGCGCCACCGAGGGACAGCCAGCTCGCCGCCTCCAAACACCAGACTCCGCTGCGCAGAACCGCAAGCTCCCTGCTGGCTGACTTTCTGCAGCTGGATGTGCTGTGGGACTCTGCCGTGGAGCTCTTAACTCTGTTGTCCCAAGTAGCCCGCTGTTGCCCCCGGCCCGCCCGCCTTCGGCTTCACCTGGAAGCCTCGGCGCTGCGCCAGGCGCTGGCTCACTCTTGTGACCAGATCAGGGCCACCACATGCAGACTTCTAGGAAACTTAGATCCATTCAGGCCTCCCACGCTGCACACCTTGCAGCCTGACATTTTCAAAAGCATGATAGAGTGTCTTCACGATTCCTGCATGCCTGTCCGACGTATGGCTTGCAGGGCGGTTGGGAACTGGTTGGGATGTATGGCAGCAGGGGCAAGGTTTAAAACGGGTGGCATTGACAGTACAGGGTGGGGCGAAGGGAAGGCACACAATGAGGCAGCAGGAGATTTGGCTGTTATAGTAGAACAGGGATTGGACGATGAGGAGGGGCGCAGTTGGACAGAGGAAGCCAGGAGGACGGCGGTGCCACTGACGTCTCTGATCACTGACCCCGATGCCTTCACGCGTCGCCACTGTTGTGCAGCCCTGGGAAACCTGGTACATGTCGATGGAGCTGTATCCCTGTTGTTGGCGGAGCACACGTCCAGCCTGCTCCTGAGAGCTGCGTGCATGGATTCCCATAATGCAGTGAGGCAAGCAGCCATAGCAACCCTGTGCCTGTACAGCGAGCAGGACGCAATACGTCAGGTAACACGATGAACAGGTCGCAGGAGGGCAGAGGTCAACGCTACAAATAGGATTTCAGTTTTTTTGAATTTGGATAGAAAGACCTTTTTTTTTATTTAATGACAGTTTCTTAATGGTAGAAAACAATTACCACTATTTACATTTAAGCAGCATTGCCTTGAGCCCATTCCTTCCTTTTATATAAACTTGTTTTCTAGTCTTAGTTCATTGCAAATTCTTAAATGCTCTGCAGATGTTTTGTCACCTCTGTGCTATAGTGTGATCACTTTAAACATGTAAACAAATATTTTCCAGTCGGTCACTTTCTTTTGCGTTCGTTTGAAGGTCCTGAGATCCCTCGACGCCAGTAAGAAACTTCTTCAGGCTTCACAACACGCAGCTCCACAATGTGACTATCACCAGCTCATCGGACAGCTGTAAGTGAGTCCAAATAAACATGAATGGTAGCACATTTAAATGTCTTGTAAATATTTCTTCTCCTTCCTTACATTACAAAAGTCCTTCCTCCTGTCTCCTATATTCAGAATTCATGTCCCATTTATTATTTTTTATAAAGTGTCTTTTTTTTATTTAAAGATTAGTGGACTTAATACATGGAATCATAGCGGTGGATATAAAAACTAACTTTTCTTTCTGGAGATCTTCGTTGGCACAGCAGAAATTGTGTCTGTGTGTTGAAATAAAACCAAAGTGTGTTGTTACTGTTATCTGATGTTTCATTTAATGACACCAGCTGTTGGGGAAAAAAAAACTATTCAAATGGAATCGAAATTCCACAAAGACGAATGTCTTTTTAATTAGAGAAGAGCTTATTTTTTCCTTTCGCACTCCGCAGTGATAAACACCAGTGGTTGTTATAAGCGCTACAAATAGGTGAGTTATAAACGTTTCATTCAAATAGTTTCAGGTTGTAGTTTTTGTACATTTTGGTTGACTTCAGTTAGCGCCCGTCATTTAAAAGTCGTGTTTCAGTATAGAGGATGTCGTCTACAGATTTTAAAGCCTTTTGGGGCAAAATTGTGATTCTTGGTGGTATAAATAATATCGACTTTTATTTTGCAACTGCGAACGGCATTTTAACAAACGTCGGGCTGAACGTTCACTCCTTTTTAAATTGTTCTTTTTTTTTTTTTTTTAGCTTTACATCGACTAACAATAAGCGCTTAATAATGACATTTATAGCTTTATAAAAAATAGTTATGGAGCTGTTTGTCTCAGTTCTGACCGCATGGGGAGTGAATGATGGGCCGCGTGTCGGATCAGAGAGCAGCGCGTGTCGGTGTCCGTCAGGCCCTACAGGTTTGTAATGTGCATTTTTACAAAAAATATTAAGTTATGACATTCAAGAGCCACGACTTGTTTTCAAGATAAATTTGACAGCATATTGTAATTTCGGATTATTACAACAGTCGGTGTAGGTAAAAAACAAACATTTCCGGTCAATTCACCAACTCGGAGAGAAACCCTCTGAAAGAACACAAAGGACTGAGTTAATGATTCACTTTACTTTATTTTTTTAGGAAAAAAAAAAACCTGACGCCACACAAATGACATATGCATATATGATTAAATGAACATGGAGTTACAAAGCGTTATTATGTGCTGTCACATATTTTTGGTTTTAACAATCGGAGTTGATAGTGCACCGCAGGAGGGTCGAACAATGTGACTTTAATTTCTTGCCAAAAGCTGAATAAACACATTAAATAAACGGCTAAAAGTCCGCGTTCGTATCCAAGATTGTCTTAAAATAAATATGCATAGAAAAAAAATCCATCCTCGCTATAGGCATGTTTAACAGTAACGGTAGTGCTTATTTCCTTAGCAATAAATCCGATTGGGAAATAAATTCGACAATATCCTCTTACACCAAAGATAACACTGCAAACGCATGAACAAATAACCTAATGAGATTTTTTTCAGTAATTTTCAACAAAGAAAAGGCTAACGCACTTCACTCCCTGAACATACAAAAGTTGTTACAAATTAGTGCAGATCAGCCAGAGGCCTATAAAACGTATTGCCATAACGAGCACTTTAGAGAAAAAAAAATCCCCTTTATTTCTGAAATTCTACATTTTCTACTCCGTTTATGGAAAAACATGCAGAGGGAGGCTGCTAAAACTCAACTAGTTACAATATTTGTACATATGGAAACCCCTTTTTTTTTACATCAGGAAAACCTGTATGTCAATAGCAGTGAAATCTTTATGTAAAATGAAGAACATGAATCATCCACTGCATGTGTAGGACTGGAGAACAAATTGTATATCCTGAGTTGCAAGATTGTATAATTTGCAAAAATGTTGCAAACTGCAACAAACACAATACAAGCTTCTTACTTCAAAACTGACATTAGCTAATTCTTTTTTGGTCACAGAATTAATAATTTGGACATTAGTCTGGAAGAAACGGGTGATTTGGGCATTAAGAGTAATGCAAATATCAGGAGAAAAAACTAATTTAAATACAGTAGAGAAAGTAATATTTCTAACAAAGCTGAGTAAAATGTAAATGTTTAAGGAACTTCATGCTCAAAACATCCAAATCCTTTTAGCGACTGAATATTTTGGGCTGCATTAAACCTGAAGTCAAAGGCTTTGTCCAAAATGAATTTAACGACATTAAAATGATAAAAAAATATTTGCTAAATTGATGACAAAAAGTTCCTTGCTCTTCTGTACATCGGTCGTTCTCTCCGCAGTTGTAAAAGTCAATACATCTTCAAGCGCAATCCTAATATTCTAAAATATTCATAGCAATCAAACTAACATTTGCTGTTCAAGAGAGGCGAGAAATTATTCTAGAAAAGTATTTGGTTTGAAAGATGTGTTCAAAAATGAAATGATGCACTTTCATGTGTAGACACCAACAACATATTTGACGACTTCAACTATCGTAAAGGGCGATACAGTAATTGTAAAAAAAAAAAAAAAAAAAAAATTGAAAATGTAAAAAAACAACAACATTCAGTTCTATTGCTGACATCAATTCCAATGTAAGGCTGTTAATGATATTAAACCTGCATAATGAGCATCGCTTCTTCAGAAATAACCGTATTTCAATTAGTAGATCCAGGCAGTGAGAGATCTATTAAACATGATTGTCATTGAAAGCATTGCAATGCCACAGTGCAGGCTCAAGTGATCAGAGTGCGAAAGCAATGGAAGCATTGGATAGTGTTGATTTTAAAATGTAAAAAATAATTCACATTAGCAAAGCATGCATTTACCCCACCCGCCATTAAAAAAAACCCCAAAATTAAACATTCAATTCTGGACAATCTTACAGACACAAAGAGCGCCACATTCTCCCTGTTGCGCCCTCTTTAAATGTACTTGCAGGAGCTCGGTGTTAGGCGGTCGTGTCCTGCTTGTGCCTTTGGCTGCGGGCCTTGTAAACTTCAATCAGCAGGTCTTTGACATACTGGATTTCACGTTCTACCGACTCTGCCTTGTCCCGGAGCTCCCGGTTCTTCCCTTCGAGGCCGTGCAACTGTTCCTCCAGAGAATCTAGCTCCACCCTTTTTCTCTGGCGGTACCTGCGTTGAGGAAAGCAAAAGATTAAATGCAGATCTTTACCTGTGAAATCATGTCGGAGGTCGCATTTTGAATCGAGCTGAGAACTAAAGGTCACCTGTGAGCGGCGGTTTTGTTCTGATCTCTCTTCTTCTGCTTGCGCTTGCCGCCTTCGACTGGAACGAGGTCCTCTTCGTAGCTCAAAGCACAGTGGTCTTCCTTCAGCCTGCATGCTTGCCTGCACCCCGAAGACTCCAGGTTCAGACTCTCCCTAGCCATTAAAAGACACTCTGGGCCCTGATCCTCCAGGAAGTTACAGTGCAAATCATGTTGCCCTATCTGCAGACTCTCTGACTTCACCTGCTCGTTGATGGTGCTTAAGAAGCTATGATAGGCCTCAGACTGTGCTGTCGCTGGAATATAGCAACCTTCGCCGCTCTCCGTCTTCCACGAAACACTGGCTTTTGTCATCTCCACACTCGCTTTGATGCTACTCAGCGCCTCGTTGCTACCGGTGCCTCCGCTGACCTCCCTCATGCTGTACATCAGCAGGTCCTCTTTCTTGTGCGGGACGTTAAGCGATCCGCCAAAGCCGAATCCACCGCCGACAACCTTCGCGCCACCTACGACATCTTGACCGAAACAGCAATTTTTGTCGTCTCTTGGCAGGATGGCACATCTTCTGACCTCGACTGCACTACCCAGACAGTAGCTCTTCCCTACCAGCTGCTCGTCCTCGGCACAGTCGTAGTTACCTGTGAGGGTCACCGATGCGTTACCTGAGTTGCTTCCTTTGGAGCTCAACAAACTGTTGTCATAGCCGTCGCTGAACCTCACGCCGTCAGGTACTCTTTTCCTAACACACCCACTGGGCCGACTGCAGCTGTACGGGGCGTGTCTTGGATTTTTGGATCGCCCAATGGGCCCGCCACAGATACTCAGCAGGTCCAGTTCTCCGGTTGCCAGGGTAACAAGGAGTGGGCTGGATTCCGATTGGTTGGATGTGGAGTATGATGCGTATGGCAGCTGAGTGAACGGCTGAGGACCCGCCGGCAGTGGACCCCTGTCGCATTTCGCGAGCCTCGGCCCTTTCTCTGGCAGCGGCTCGGACAGGAAGTAGTCCTCCAGTTGGGCGAGTTCCTCTTGCAGCAGAGAGGTCATGACCTCCAAGTCGGAGGGCACCTGGATATCATTCTGGAGGGGCGAAGGGGGAAGGGAGGCATTGGTGGAAGAGGGAGGGGAAGGAGGGTTTGGGAGGTACGAGGAGAAATCCACTTCTTCCGTCATCCAGTCAGTGAGACCATCACCTATTGGGCAGAGAGAAAAATTGCAATCGTGAGAAGCTGTTGGGTGGAGGAAAACATCACAGCTAAATAACAACGTTCATGCAAACATTGTAAAAATGTCAGTCGACCAATGTTGCACGAAGGCAGAATCCGATCGGCAATAGCAAAAGCAAAGCAAGCTTTTTACAAACTATAGTTGTAGCGTATCAACATACTAGGCGTAGATAGTTTTTTACTTACTGTTCGAGAAGGACGAATGTGCTGCAGTGCCGAGCCCACCTGAAATGGGAAAAAATATAAAAAAGCGTACTCGCTGCAACTCACCAATTAAGTGCTGACTCTCCTCTGACACCTCCCCCCTGCGCCCCTGTGATTGGCTGTGGTTAGCCTGTGGGTGAGAAGGAGCGAGGGGGTCTGCCGGGCAGACACGAAGAGTCTTCCAAACAGGAGCTGATGTTGCCATCATAGTGTCTGTCGGCGCTTTGATTCAGTCCAAGTCCGAGCATGTGCTGAGGGCAAGAGGGGTCTGACAGATGGGCCACAGAGAGCAGGGCTGGGTGAGCATAATGAAACCTGGAGGGGAAACACAAACGTGGATCAGAAACATGCCGCCGAAGAAAAAAAGATGCAACTTAGTCAGTCGACCGGGAATATCAGGAATATCACACTCGCTGCCCTCAGCAAGTTTCTCAACAGCAGTCTGTCTGTTGATGGAGATAAAATAAAGAATAAGAAATCGCCTGCAGGTCATCATGTAAGAATAATGGGTTTTGTTTTTTTTAGCTATAAGGAAATAACTTTCCAAAACATGAATATTTACATCAAATATCAAATATTTAAAATAGAATGGATCATGAACACTTTCAAAAACCAACCCTCAGAATTGACAAAGTCAGTGATACACACATGACATCTGTGTCCTCTGAGCTTTGAACTCCCTCAAAAGCAAAATGCACTTGACGTCCTCAAAGCACGTGGGACCTCGTAACGCTGTCAACGGCCCAACTGTTGCTAACTCTAGATTACAGAAACTCTCTAAAGTGAGAAAGCAGATCAGCTGCTTCTAATCGCATGTCCCTTTTTAAATGAATCACTTCTGTTTGACGACTGAAGCGGGATAGGTGGCGATAACTAAATAGAAACCCGATGCATGCTGAAAGTGACATAAATGTGATGCTCTCCGGTGTATAACAACATAGGCTGGAGGCTATACGTGTAACAGCTGTCCCTGTCATCAAAGCAACCCAAAACAGACTAAACGCCATTAAAGAAGCATTAAATATTTAGGCAAATGGTCTAAAAGAAGATATTAAAATAAAATAAACTGTATAAAGCAGATAAGCCAGCATAAGAACGGACCGCTCCGCTACGTCTGACACACGAGCAGATATACAGCAAACACAGCGATGCAGAAACAAACCGGAGCCGACGTGTGTGCATAGTAGAGAGAGTTTCACTTACTCCATTCTTGCAGAGAAAAAGGTAGAGCACGTAGGGTGCGGAGCACGATTTCTTATCGGGTCCAACAACTTCGCGAGTTTAAAGAGCCATGTTTCAGCTCGCGGTATCCGGGACAGCGCAACAACAACAACAAAAAGAAGAAGGACGAGTTGTTGCTTTGTTGTGGTCGACCTGTAAACTGAGCGGCTGCTTTAATTGTGAGAAAGCATCAGTTCATTCACACCTAGCAACCGACTGCGTCACCGTGCTGCTGAGCGTAGATCCCTCCGCCCCCACCCTCCGCGTCTCACAGAAGGACGTCCCACAAACTCTCTGTTGTAAAAGTACACTACTCAGTAAAGTACTCGTTCCTTTCGTGCTTGTTTCAAAAGTACCACCGTTAATAAAGTATGATTAGTTGTGATTTCGTATAATAGGCTTGCTGTTGTAATACAGCCACACAATGGAGATGGCTTTAACGCGTTGCGTAAAAAAGGAAACAAAACCGGAAAAAGTAAATAGAAAGGTAGTAAAAGAATACCACGTGGGCTGCAGTGACTGTCCAGCTCCTAGATGTAAAGTATCAACACTAAACACTAAATCATGGTCTGTGATTTAATGAAGCTGGGAAAGTTAGAAGCGGGAGGGAAATAATAAGTAGTTCCTATCTTGTTCAGACTAGCTGTAGTGTTGATATATCGGTAGTAATCCGACAAGTCCTCACATTATGTAACGCGTTACAACTAGTATTGTTTCTCTTATAACCCGTTGTTGCTACAGAGACAGGAAGTTACAAATGATCCAAACCCAGATGATGGACTTAGTTTACGTGGACTCGGCTCTCAAATACACACCACTACAGTTTAGAGACTGTACTTTACTATGCGGCATGGTATTGTTTTGACGAGGGACTATTTGATTCACAGCGCACTTTGTTGTTCAGACGTCTGTTGCATCGCCGTTGCATCAGTGGTCCATGTTCAGAGCGATTGGCTGCGCGTGCACAGGCTGCCAGTCTGTCATTGGTTGGATTCTGCTACAAGTGAAACCTGATTGGTCAGCGGTAGGCAAGGCAAAGCATCACTGTGTTGTTATCTTTTTTTTTCTTCTTCCTGCAGTGCAGACTGTGCACATGTTTCAGGTAAACAAACCGGGTGTGGATATCGGTGCTGCAGTTTTTTTTTTTTAAAGCTGAGAAAAGCTTTTTGTGTCACAGTTTTACCAAACAGCTTGTGGTAATCAAGTCAGACTGATTATGCAGCAGAGCAAACTAAATGAGAGTTTAAGTCGTTAAATACCAGGCGGAAAAGATGCTCATCATAGGAAGTCATGTTGTCACCACAGACATGTCTCTTTGTGTTATTATTTAGTTACTTAATTGTAAATATGTCAAATCATGCTTTAATTTTCCTTTCTTTGTAAATGTAATTAATAGCTGTCAGTTTATGTGGGTCTCAACTACACCAGGTCATTGTTTGACGAAACAACACCGAGTCAGTGAATAATGGAAGATATCTTATTCAAGTATTCAAGGATATATTCATTTTACTTCTGCAACACAGAATGAGTGTTATCATAACATACTTTGACAATCCTGTATTTCCGTGGCTCATTTGCGAGAAGCAGCTGGCGGAACCGATTTAATATCACTTGTAATGACTGTCAATCATTATGTGAGAAACACAGCCTTGTTTTTCTCATTTCAGCAAATCCTGAAGCTGAGTGAATGTGCGGTTCTCCTGTTGCTATAGTAATAGCGGACACTGCCCCCTATTTTAGACTTGTTTTCTGGTTGCTGTTGCCATGGGATTTGCATCTCTCTCTCTCTCTCTCTCTCTCTCTCTCTCTCTCTCTCTCTCTCT